ATCTCTTCTAAAGAGAACATAAACTATCACTCTCCAATGGCTCCCCACTTACCTACAGGATAAAGTCCAAATTTCTTATAAAGGCAATAAAATTCTCTATTTTCTAACTTCAGCTTGACTCTGCTGCTATCTTCCCAAAGCAGCCCCCACACCGTGATCTGCTGGATAGCTGTTCCATGAATAGTCCAGGCTGGTTCACCTTGTCCAACTTGTCTCTCCCAGCTCTCTCTGCCAGCATGCCAGTTCCTTCCCTTCTCCCTACCTGTCCACTTTTCCGAGTATGCTCAAGTCACCACCACTACTAAGCCTTTCCTGACCAAGCATGCCACTCCTCAATAGTTTTGGCCAACAGAGTTAGCTGCTGCCTCCTCTAGGCTTACTGTAATCTGTACAGGTTTCAATCATGACTCCTGTAACACGTCACCCTTATTGTTACATGTCTGCCTCCTCAACCCGAGAGCTTCCCAAGAGAAGGGACCATGTCTTATTCGGCTTTGTACACCCTGATGCTGACCAGACACTCTGGTATCGGTATCTTGGCATTAGCAGCCCCTTCACATTCAATGTGCTCTACTGAATTGACGTAAAGAGAATGGTGTCCCTGGACTTGTGCAATGCTGTGGCCCACACTCAAGAGAGGCTTAATACATGTTTGATAAATGGATGAATTAATAAATGATAAATGAATGCTCAAGTTCAGACCAGCCACAATAAGTATGGTATAGTTCTGCGTTAAACATAGATAATCAACTTGATGTCCCTCTAAGGCCTGCATTAATTCAGGAAGGTTCAGAGGTGGAAATGTTTCTAGCATAACTATTACTTTTAGTTTTCTTTCAAACAAGACAAAACTGGCAAGTGTATTGCCACCGAAACCATGATTCCAGGACAGGCCCTGAGATAAAAGTGTCTTTCCTGATGCCAGACCCGTCAAAGCTCAGCTATACAGATTCACAAGCACCAGCAGGTTTGTGAGTTAAAGGGGAAACATTAAATGTATTTACTGCCAACTCTGGATTTTTTTCTCAGATTTTGCAGTACCACAGAAATTCCAGCTGACATTGCAGAAGTTTGGTAGGCTTTCAGAACTGGGGCCGTGCCCCATCTTCAACTTGAAACTTCTCGCCATAATACAGTCAAGGATAGGAAAACATGTTATTTATCTACCATCACAGTAATAATACCATTTTATCCCTGCTTTTATATGGTAAACATCCTGTGGTCTTCTCTACAGAAATAAACAAGTGATAAAATATCTTCCCTCCTCTAAAGCCTGGGGGACTAGCAATAATGCCAAAATAAAACTCAAAATATACCCAAGATTATGTTCTTATGAAATCTGTAATTGTTCAAGTATTAAAAGACTTAACTTCTTATCTATGACCAAACTGACAAGCAAAACCCTTCTAACCTACTTTGTCAGTTATTTACTCCTTCACTGAACCAAACTGTCACATTTGTAGAACACTCAAGGCAATAGTGAATAAGAGGAATATTAAGCTCAAAAGTGCTCCCAAACATACTCCTAGCCTCAAAGAGGAACATGTGGATTCCTCTGCATAATCGAGCCAAGCAAAATCAGGGATGATGCCTTGGGACAAGAATGGCTGAGAGAGGTAGAATGAATCATTCACGTCAGAAGTAAAAAGAGCACCCTCGAAATAACTATTTTGTTCACTTGCTAGTGAATCTATATAATTCAAAGAGTAAAAATGATATGCCAGGATTTGAGGTATTGTAAGCTAGTTGGGAAGTTTATAAATTATGACTGTAATATTATGATTTAACAAGCAAAAAGAAGACAAGCTGAGAAGGACTATATATGGCAGCTTCTCTAACTGACAAGCAGAGAAAACACTATTTTGCGGGGGGGATAAATTCACTTTATTTATTTTTTTGTGAGGAAGATCGGCCCTGAGCTAACATCTGCCAATCCTCCTCTTTTTTGCTGAGGAAGCCTGGCCCTGGGCTAACATCCATGCCCATCTTCCCCCACTTTATATGGAATGCCACCACAGCATGACTTGACAAGCAGTGCGTCGGTGCGCGCCTGGGATCCAAACCAGTGAACCCCGGGCCACCGCAGCGGAGCGCGCGCACTTAACCACTTGCACCACCAGGCAGGCCCAAAAACACTATTAACACTGGAGTAAAAGTGGTCAACGTGGCCCCCCTATCAGCCTAGGCCACCAGCATTGTCTCTGCCTTCTATGTTGAAACAATGTATTTAGACACATCTACAATGAAAACAAAGCCAAAATGAAAACCATGGACAAGAATTTTAAGAGGGCTAAAAAGTAGCAGGAAGAGAAAGAAAAATGCCACAAACATCTACAGCTCCTTCATGAAACTGAACTTAACCCAATACACACATACTCGTTGGTCCCTTATTATAGTCTCTTTAGACTTGCAACCTACCTGGTAGGTATACAGATACACTCAGTTCAGTAACGGCTCAGACAGCGCTCTCTGAACCAGTGGCATGAACACTCAGAATAGTGCCCGACACATAGTAAGAGCTATATAACTATTAGCTATTTTTATTACTTTTGGTCAGAGACTGGGGTATGATAATAAGGGAAATATTTAATATGTAGTTCATCAATTTAATAAGTCACCATCATCTCTCTCCAGTGCTCCTGCAGAACTCTATGACTGCTGCCCACTCCTCCCCGCCTCATCTACTCTTCTCCTCTCTGCTGCTCCTCCGGCATACCAAGGATGCTTCCGTCTCAGGGCTCGCCTCAGGGCTCTCGCACTTTCCTCCAGATAGCCTCCTGCCCACTCCTTCACTTCCTTAGGGTGACTGTTCAAAGGTCACCTTCTCAGTGAGGCCATTCCTCACTGTCCTCTATAAGTCTCCCTTCCACACGCCTCCTTAACATATTTTAGTTTTCTCCATTGTACTTATCACAGTCAGACATGTAGAAACCATTTATTTTCTGAACACACACTAGAAGGTAAGCTCCACACAGGTAAGAACTCTTTTTGTTTACTGTTATATAGCAGGTGTTCAATATTTGTTGAAAGAATGAATTCAATAAGTATTTAATACATCCATGTGCCAACACTTTTTTTTTTACACATTATCTCATTTAGTTCTCATAAACCTTGAAGGTACATATTATCATCACAATTTTAAAAATAAAGAAACCAAGGCTTGACAAGGTTAAATATATTACCTACAGTCACAAGCTCCCAAGTAGAAGAACCAACCTTTAATCCCAGGTCTGGGTCTAAAGTCCCCAGCCACACAATGTACATTGAAAGGATCATTTAGGTATTAGGATTTTATGTATTCATTCAACAAATATTTATCGAGTGCCTAAGCTGACATGTACTGCATTAGTCCCTGAGGACACAACTGTAAACTTGCCATCTAGAGGAGAATTTGTGCCATTGATTCACCAAAAACTAAGCAGAAAATACAAATTCTTTGAAACAAGAGCCTGGAGAGTTAAAAATCCATCAGCAGCAATGACTGGCTCTGAATGTCTTCCAGTATGCTAACATTTACTCTACAAGGGAAATTATTACAAAACACTAGCCAAGAGGCTGCTGGATGGTGGGAGGGATATGTATCAGAATATCCTGTGCAGTTTCATGAAGTTCCTACACAGGTTCCTGAGATTCTGGCACAGCTAAGCTGATTTAATAAAATGGGGGTGGGGTGGGGAGTCCTACGTAATTCTAAAATATCTCCTCCCCCTTTGAGAATCACATCTTCCTTTCCTTACATAGCTCACCAGGCTTTTCCACTTTTGAAATACCTGTTTGCCCAAAAGTAATAATGTGACTGTAGAAGCTTATTTAGACACAAAATATCATAAAACTCTAGAACTCTAGGATTTTCCCTAGGGACCCAAGGACAAAAAGATTCCATAGAAGAAGGGGAAGGAGAAATAAAATGTAAGAAATGTTACTGTGCTAGACTTTACATATATTATCTCACTTACTTAAATCTGCAAGCTAGCAAACCTTTGAAAGAGCACACCAAGTAACTTGCCTAAGTCACAAGACACCTGCACCCCACCCCCACCTCCACTGTAGCATCAGGGTAAAGTGTCTGATTCCTCAAAGGATCTGATGTTTTTTAAAATTCAGAGATGTCACACTAGGACTCCAGTGCAGAAATGAGCCAACTATGATTAACTGCCCCATCCTCACCCCAGGAAGTAACTCAAGAATCCCTACAACCATATTTCCAAATTACCAAGTGGGTGGTGGAAACAGTTATGCTATGGTGAATCTTACGCTGATTCGGAAACAACACAAAACAGCACGGACAAAAGCTCTGCCTTTACGGTGAGATGACCTCTAGCACTCTGACTTGAGCCATTCCTGATCCCATCATCCCATGTTCTAGCCCACGGCAGGAAGACTATACGGTTTTTGTTGTCCCTGCCACAAGAATTTAGTTCCATGAAAACAAGGACTGCGCCCATTTTTTTCATGGCTATATCCTCAACACCCTGAACTGAATAAATGATGGTTGGTGGAATGCATCAAGGAATGAGCAAGCCTGGCTCTTGTCATCTGTGAAAAGGAGATAATCAAGCCACCTCTCGGGGTTGTTGGGAGAATGACATGAGACGGTCAGTAACGCTGTGTTGGCACATACAGGGCCGAAAAGATTGATCTTCCTCGCGTTTCCACCCAACAGGTTAGGAAGGGCTGCGCTCTGGGCCCGTTCTGGAACACGGGCCCCAAGAGACCCTGGCGAGGTTGAGCAAAAGCCTGGAGCTGTCGCGCCCGGGGCCGGGGAAGGCGGCAGGCAGAAGGGGCGCCCCGGGTACAGTGTCGAGGGCCGGGGAGCGGAGGACGGCCCGGCCGGCGGGCAGGCAGGAGGAGGTGACCCCCGGGCCGGGCGGGTCGAGGCAAAGGCCGGCCAGGAAGGGCAGGCCCAGGCCCAGAGCGCAGCCGTCCCGGCGCCTCAGACCAGCCCGCAGCGTGAGAGCCGGAGGAGGCGCGCCCGCCTCGCCGGCCATTCCGGTTCTTACCAACTCTAAGTGCCGCTCCGGGCGACCCGAGGGGACCTTCCGAGGACGAGGCACTGCCGGACACAAGCCACGGGCCGAAAGGCAGAGTTCTCGCGGGAGCACACCCTCCCTCCCACGTCTCACGCCACACATCTGACAGTCTCGCGAGATCTCTGCTCGGGTCGGGCCGAAGCTCTTGTCCGCCCTCTAGAGGGCACAGAGCGCAAGCGCACACTGTTTCCTGGGCCCCAAGTCAGTGTCCTCGCACGCTTCCTGAATAAATCAGATTAAATGAAACGAACTGTTGAAGGCAAACTCTGTGCCGAGGACCATCCTGATTCTCTCACACAAGATGTCGTCAGAAGGTTGATATTATTTAGGCTTAACATACAGATGCAAAAATACATGTCAGGAGACACAAAAGGACAAACACTGTATGATTCCACTTAAATAAAAAGTACCTAAAGTAGCCAAATTATAGAGACAGAAAATAGAATGGTGGCTGCCACAGGCTGAGGGAGATGAGTTATTGTTTAATGAGTACAGACTTTCAGTTTGGGATGATGGAAAGTTCTGGAGATGGATGGTGGTCATGGTCGCACAATAAATGTGAATGTGCTTAGTACTACTCAATTGTAAACTTAAAAATGATTAAAATTGTAAATTTTATGTTATGTGTATTTTGCCACAATTTTTTAAAAATTCAGTAAATAGGGACCAGCCTGGCGGCGTAGTGGCTAAGTGCGCGCGCTCTGCTGCAGCGGCCCGGGTTCGCAGGTTCGGATCCTGGGCACACACAGACACACCGCTTGTCAAGCCATGTTGTGGCGGCATCTTATATAAAGTAGAGGAAGATGGGCATGGATGTTAGCCCAGGGCCAATCTTCCTCAGCAAAAAGAGGAGGACTGGCAACAGATGTTAGCTCAGACCTAGTCTTCCTCACACACACACAAAACAATCAGTAAATAAATAAATAAATAATGTCAGAGTCCAGATTCCAAGCCACATAATCTGACTTGAAAGTATGTGTTTGTTTGTGCCACATCACACCACACAATTTTCTACACTCCGCGTCCCACCTCTCTGTGCCTCGCCTCACAATCTGCCCGGTATGGCATTATCCACATTGGAATTTTTCTGTTTATTTATTTATGACCAGATGCTAAAATAGGAATCTTCCTCTCTCAGTTTTGACAGAGGTCCCCAATACTCCGTGCTAACTGCTCCCCCTGTTTCCTAGCAAGGTGAAGGACCGTCTAAGTAGGATTTGCAAAGGAGATGATCCTGTTAGGGTTTTATGGATGCCACCCAAGAATGACTCCTACAAAGGGCAAGGCAATCAGCAGAAAGCAGCAAGAAACAGCTGCAGATGCAGAAGCTAAGAAGGTGTCTCACCTGTGCGTGGAAGGGGAGCTGTGAAGGTGGAGGGGCAGTAGGGAATGTCAGAGAGGCCCACAAAAGCCCCACGAGGAAGTAAACCACCCTCAACACCGCCACAGGCAGAGGAGCCGAGACTGCATTGTACCCTCTCCTGTCCCCCATCCCCTCAAGTCAGATGCAGACTCTGAATTCAGACTTTTTATAACTAAAAGTGACCAGAGCACTGTTTTTTATCTTAGGGTAACCAAAAAAACTAAAGGGCTGACTAGATTGCTCAACTGGTCCACAGAGCCTATTTGAACAGGTAGGGTTAGGGGGCAGAGGGGAAATAAAGCTCTTCACTGACTGCCCACAGATTGTTCAACAGAGGACTGTTTGCTTGCTTGTGATCTGTCACGTACACACACATCCTACTCTAAGCCCCAGGAGAGCAGGGACCTGGTCTCTCTGATTCACTGCTGTAGCCCCAGGCCCAGGCACTCAGTAAAGGCCTGTTGAGTGAACAAGGGTTCTCTAACACAGAAACAGCATTGTCACTGCTTTAAGTCCCTAAGTTTTGGGGTGGTCTATATATAGCAACAAACAATTGATCCGGGAGTCCTGCACCCAAGCTGTCCCCCATCCACAAGGCAGATCCCCCGGCCTTTTAATATCCCATCAGATGGCGTGTGGTCCTGTAGGTACTTCTTCCAGGCTGCCCTGCTCTAAGCTGCTCTAACCTCTGGCAAACACAGAGGTATGTGAACATGAAGGACAATCCCTGAAGAAGAGGAAGGAAGGATAAACATGAAATCCTCAAAGAAAAGAAAGCATCTGATTTCATCTCAAAGACACGTTTATTTTTTGAATTGTTTGCCAGATGGTGGGACACCCGGGCAGCAGAGTGCAGACATATCAGAAGCCACAGAAGCGGCAGTGGTCCCCTGAGTACGATGCACAGTGATCTATTGGAGTATAGGGAAAACAGTAACTTTCATTCATATTTATTTTTTGTCTCCTCCTTTAAATGTTTGCATGCTTTATAATGTGTATTATATCAATGCACACAATTTCTGAATTAAAAATACACCCATTCAAGTGTTTGCTCAAACATTTTTTTTACTGATAGGTAGGATTACACAAGCATAGACTGTTAGAGGCCACAGGAGAATGAGGTCTGGCCTGGGAGGACCTGGGCCCTCTAGAAGCACGTTACAGTATCCATCCACTAACAGAACAGATCTTTTCTGCGTTCTCCCGCTCCACCACCTTGTAGCTGCAGGTCTCCTTGTTAAAGATTTTCTGGCACTTGATTTTGTCATAACCCACAGGTACAGCAACACTGTCATTGAGACAAAAGCAAAGCCTGTTAGAAGGGATAGGATGCCCAGCCTACCCAGGGCGAGCTCTGTGCCAGAAGCAACCCACACTCCAGCTGACCGGGACGCCCCTCACCAACTTAAGGTTACCCCTTGGCTGGCAACTCCACAGTGCCACTTTCAGGAACCTGGACCCAAACACGTAGACCCTGGACTATGAACACATGGACCATGTCTGACATCGTTCCTAAATTCCATCCTGCATGCACAGAAGGACAGCAGCAAGTTCTGACAGGCCCAGAGGCAGGTCTGGGCTACTCTGGGGCCAGGCAGCTTGTTCTGACTGGGCTCTTCTTGCCCTCCCTGCTCAGGAAGTGGCCAGCAGTATGGCTGCTCGAATGTGGGAAAGGAACGGTTGTCCCAACCCTGGCATGGAGGCCTGTTAGACTAGGAGCTGGCACAGTCAACAGGAACAAAGAGTCACTCCAGGCCAGGATCATGGAGCCCAGGGAGAAGCTGATGAAAATTGGGGACCATCTCCCTGCGAAAATCCACCCACATTTTCAAGGATGCAAACAATTTTAGGGCTCATGGCTCTCATGAAACCCATCCATCAACCCCAGATTTAAATTGCCCTTCCCTAAAGTGGACACAGAAGCAGCCATTCCCAGGGCCTTTGTGACAGTGTTTCCTTCCAAATGGTGACTTATTTTAACAAAAGAGGACATTTCAATCCTCTTCCCAAAGGGTAATGTGGAAACCAAAATGAGGATTGGAAAAAGACTTTCTCAGGGCACCAGGGGTGGGGGCCTGGGCAGTGGGGAGGCCAGAGCAGCCTGGCCTTGGGCCTCCAACCTCAGGCTTGATTGGCACTGGGCAGCTTGAGATCTGGACAGTGTCCCCTAGAGAGTGCAATGGGTCAAAAAATTCTCCCAGAGAAAATTTAATCAAAACCTGTATTTTGCCATGGCCAAAAAAAAAAAGTTCACGAGAGAAACTTGATAGGCTGTTAGAAATTACAGGGAAAAGGAGTTGGCTATGAACAGTAGGGAGAAATGTGCACATTTCCTCCACTTGGATCAGTGTGCCAAATAGGATAGGCAACGCGGCAGGAAAGAGAAAGGGACACCTTGAGCCCTGACTGGGTGTCAGTTACTATCCCAGGCTCGAGGGACACAGAAGTGGCATACAGAAGGCATTAAATATTTGTTGAGCTAATGAATTTCTATGCAAAATCTCATTTAACTCTCACATCCACCTGATTATCCCTACTTTACAATGAAGAAACTGAGGCTCAGAGAGATTAAAAAACTTATCCCGAGTCACACGGCTGGCATACAAGGGAATGGAGAGTCAGACTCAGTGACTCTGGTTCCAGCATCCAGGCTCCTCCCACTTCCCTCTTTTCTACGCTAGGTCCACCGAACCCTAGAAGAGAGTCGTAATGATATGGCTGTGATGACGCAACACTGACTGGGGTGGAGGGGCGTCAAATCCGAGTGAGGTGGATGCTTTGACCACTTAGGAGGTGCGCTCCGACGTCAGGGACGAATGGCTCACCAGCCCTTAACCTAGCCCACACAACCACACTCCGGAGCCACGTTAACACTTGATGCAAAGACAATGTCAAATTTCTGGAACCACAAAATCAAGATTCAGTTGTAAGATGCAGTGACCCAGCCGAGGCCATAGCTGGGAACCTGCTTCGGGCAGCCAGCCAGCCAGTCTCCGGATCTGATATTCCTCGTGTTCTATGAAGCACTTATCATGGGGGATACTCAATGAATATGTTCAGAACCTTCTGGACACTTAAACTTCAGCAGCACTTGAATGTTCTAAGTCAAGTGCTCACTCCTCTACTCACTGATGGTGTCATAAGACTCTCTGAAGCACTTGTTAAAATTCAGATTCCTTAGCTTCCTATACATTCCAATTCAGTAGGTTCTGGGGTAAGCCCCAGGAGTCTGTATTTCATCAAGCTTCCTAGATGAGTTTGTGATCAGGCAAGTGTGGGAAACACTACTTTATGCCAATGCTTCTGTCATCAAAGCCACTCCTGTTCTTGCAAAACACTACAGGCTAAGGCTAACATAAAAACATCATGTTGGGGGTGGGGAGTGGCTAGTATGGATATAGGTGCTGAGGAAACAGGAAAATTAGGGCAACACTGCAGGTATTCTCTGTTCTGTCAGCCTAAGTACAAGATCTTTGGTGTCCACAGCAACCTAGCAGAACACATCTGCACGACCTTTGGGCTGCCCTGAGTTAAACTTGAGCAGTAAAGCAACATAGGGTTTAGAGTACAAGGCACACTACAGATCATCCTTTATGCCTCACATCCATTCCCTCTGCCTGTGTTCAGATCCACTTCTGTTCTTGCAAATCACCACAGGCCAAGGCTGAAGTGAACTTCTGGAAGTGAAGTGAACTTCTAGTAACCCCTAGAATAGCTTCAGACCATTAGGTACCCTTTCCTGTCTTCAGCAACTCATCTGGATATAGGTATTTAATAATAAAGATATTTATCATGTTTCAAAAACAGCATAAAAGAAATAAGAGGGAGGTGGAAGCAACCCAAGTGTCCATCAACAGAGGAATGGATTAAAAAATGTGGTATATATCTCTCTATATATACAATGGAACATCACTCAGCCTTAAAAAGGGAGGAAATTCTGAGACATGCTACAACATGGATGATCCTTGAGGACGTTATACTGAAATAAGCCAGTCACAAAAGGACAAATACTGTACAATTCCACTTAGAGTCATCAAATTCATAGAGACAAAGAGTAGAATGATGGTTACCAGGGACTGGGGGGAGGAGGGAATGGAGAGTTGTTGTTTAACAGGTATGGAGTTTCAATTTGGGAAGATGAAAAACTTCTGGAGATGGTTGCACAAAAATGTGAACATACTTAATGCCACTGAATTTTACACTTAAAAATGGTTAAAACACTCAATTTTATGTTATGTGTATTTTACCACAATAGAAAAAAAGAAAGAAAGAAATAGAACTGAAAACTAAATCCCCTGCAGGATGGGATTTTGAAAGAGGGAATGGGTGTTACTCAAAGGGCAGCCCAACAGCAGCTGCATTCCCGTCTTGGCCCTGCTGGTTTGAGTCTTACGTGTTGCAACAGTTAATTTCGTCTTGCCCACAAGAACACTCCACACAGCTTTCAGTCTTCCACGTTGAGTTCATCGGGTGTGTGACTCCATCCAGATCCTTGCATTCTAAAATAATTCACACGGCATCATCAATGGAGTCCCCAAGTCAGGCAACCAGAACCAGGCACAACCTAGGCCAGTCTGAAGATCGTGGAAACCAAAACTTCCCTGCCTCTAGGATTCCTGTCCTAAACAGGGAGAATCTCATTGATTTTAAAGGCATCTAAGAAAAGTGCTTCTATGTTTACCTGCAGCTAAATTCCAGGACCGTCCAGTTCATGCCACTGATCAAGTTTTCTTACGGAAAGCTTAAATCCTTTCAGATTTTATTTCTAAACAGACAATTTCAAGAAAAAATAAGAGCCTCATCTTTAATCAAATTACTATTATGAGCCTGGGGTACTTGAAGCCAAGTTTTTTCTGCTGGATTATCTCTGGATAAATGCCTCATTTCTCTACTTGTTTTTGCTTTGGTCCTCAGCCCCGAATGCACATGTGAAACATCTTGGGTATTTAAAAAAAATCTATGCCTGGGTCCCACCCTAGAACAATGAAAGAAGACTCTGGGCATGGGGCCCAGGCGCCACATTTTTTGAAAGCTCCCCAAGTGATTCAAATCTTCGACCAAGGGTGAGAAGCACTGCTGCAGATGCTTGGTGGTCCCAGTGTGCTGAGGGACTAGAAGCATTGGCAACACCTGAGGCCGTGTTAGACGTGTAGACTTTCACTCCCACTCCAGGACCACAGAGTGAGAACCTGTATTTTAACAAGGGTCTCAGGGTTGCACGCACGTTAAAGTTTGAGAAGTACTGCTTTGGAATAATCAGCGGTCCTCTGGCTGCATGTAGGAGTCAAATGAGAAGCTTTGAAATGTCCAGCTCCTACCCCAGAGATTTTATTTACCTGGTCTTGGATGAGGCCTGAGTGTTACGTTTCAAAAGCTTTCCAGGCAATTCTCATACAGCTTAGGTTGAGAACCACTGTCTGATATAAATGGCAAATTTAAGTCTATCATTTTACTCCATTTCTATATCTGCCCTAACCCTCCTTCTCATGTAGAGTCTGACAAGAGATTTTCACATATTGAGGTATATGGGGTAGCTATTTGGGTTCAAAACTGATTCGGCTTGAACTAAAAAGCCTGACTTAAACAGCCTGTCAAACATACATTGTACATCTGCTTAATCACTAAAGTGAAGAACACACTCTCTTAAGATAAGAATGCATACTTCGGCTGGCCCCGTGGCTTAGCGGTTAAGTGCTCGCGCTCTGCTGCTGGCGGCCCGGGTTTGGATCCTGGGTGCGCACTGACGCACCGCTTCTCTGGCCATGCTGAGGCAGCATCCCACATACAGCAACTAGAAGGATGTGCAACTATGACATACAACTATCTACTGGGGCTTTGGGGAAAAAAAGGAGGAGGATTGGCAATAGATGTTAGCTCAGAGCCGGTCTTCCTCAGCAAAAAGAGGAGGATTAGCATGGATGTTAGCTCAGGGCTGATCTTCCTCACACACACACACACAAAAACGCATACTTCCCCTCCTGCCCCTATTGGTAACGCCCTATTGGTAACACCCAGATCAGTCCCTTTCCTGACATCACGGTCACTTTGAACTGCTGATTTGCAATTGAATATCTCTTTGAGATTTTGATAAAAATGTATCCTGTCTGTGTTTAATGTATGTTCTTTGTTCTTAAACGATATAAGACTGCAATGAAAACCATGCTTCTCTGGAATGCTTTCTAAGGCCTTCCAGGTTATAATCCTCACTCTGGCTCAAGTAAAAATCACCTTACTTCTCTTATCTATTGAATGGTTATTGGTTATTTTGCGTCGAATATTCAAAGGCCTTCATCTGCCAGCAGGTTACATCTACTAGGCTGCAACAACATGATAAACATAGAAAAGTCAGGACTTACCATTAGATAAATTGTCTGGAGTGTTCTCATTAAGTATGACATAGCACTGGGCATTGCATAAAGTCACGAAGGTGGCTGAAACCAGGAGGCTGCACAGAAGAGCATTCTATAATGGAAAGAAGGGTCGGGAAGGAGAACGAATGAATTCAGGTGGTAATCATTGACTGAGTGTCCTATATGGGGGTCCCTGCTGGGCTGGTAATCATAGACTGAGTGTCCTGTTCCAGGATCCCTGCTGGGCTCTAGCTAGCAGTTTAAAGGTGAAGCTTCTATTCTCAGATTGGCTACCAAAGGAACAAGATCTACTCAAGTTACTAAAATACCTGGACAAAGAGCCAAATATGAGTCAAAAGTAATAAAGCAATGAGGATAGTGTGCTATTTCATTACAGAGGAAGTTCAGGAAACCCTTGTAGATAGTTTATTTTTAGCCACTTTGCAGAGTACGTATAATTTAGAGGACAGAAATGAGGGAATGGAAGAGTTTCGGGAAGATGATAGACATTGACAAAGATACAGAGACAAAGAAAACATAAGAGGAGACTTGATGGAGCTAACTGGGTAAGTCAGAGTTCTTAGACCATGAAGCTAAGAATTTCATTTTCCAGAAGATAAGGCACCATTGATGGCTGCAGGAACATATCAGTTTATCCAGGCTGATACTGGATCTGCAGGACAAAGAAAAGTATCAGGTTGCCCTTGTCATCATTTTGAGATGAGCAAGCTAAATAAACAAACTTTAATGTGGGAATTTTCAGGAACCTTTTAAAAAGGAAGATGGGGTGAGGGTACTTGTTCTGTAAATGTCTAAAATTAATTATGAACTGATGCTACTTGAAGTAGTGCAGTTACTGATATAAGAATAGAAAGACAAGGGGGAGGGAGGGTGGGCGAAAGGGGTAAAGGGGCGTATTTGTATGGTGAGGGATAAAAATTAGACTACTGGTGGTGAGCACAATGCAGTCCATACAGAAACTGATATACAATAACGTGCACCTGAAATTACAGTTATAAACGATATGACCTCAATAAAATAATTGAAAAAAAAATAAAAAAGAAAGACAAATAAAGGGAACAAAATAGAAAACCCAGAAAGTGTATTTATAAACATATATAAAAGTTTATTATAAAAAAAACTTAGTCTTTTAAATCTGTAGAAAATGATTATTCAATAAATGGCATTAGAACCAGAAGAAACAAAGTTAATTTCCTACCTTAGTTCCCACAATGAAATAAATTCTAAAGGATTCAAAAGTTAGATTTTTACATTAAGATCATAAACTAATCACAGAAAATATAGGTAAATATTTAACTTATTCTAAGCATAAAAGAAAAAGAAATAGATTTGAATATGTAAATTTGTAAGTCCATAAACAAAATTAAAAAGCAATTACTAAATTTGGAGAACAACATCATTATATGAAGAGTTTCTATATATCAATGAGAAAAAGAAAAACATCCTAGTAGAAAAATGGCAAAAGAAATAAAGTGGCATTTCCCACACACATACACAGATCCAAATAGAAATGATGAATAAACACATGAAAAAGCTCGACTCACTGATAACGCAAGAAATGTAAATATTTAGATAAACTAGAACCAGCATGGGATGGCAAGCATAATTATTTAATTCCTAATAAACTAGAGGGAAATAGAGGCATATATGGGAAGCGAAATGCAAGGGATGGTTTATGTTGGAACAATTTTTATGGACAGCAATTTGATAGTGTATATCCAAATTCTTAAAACTATTTACATCTGACTTCACCTTTTCACTTCTCAGACTTGATCCTAAGAAGAATGGCACAGAGATGGAGATAGACTTCTCCTCAAGGATGCTCACTGCAGTGGGAAAATGGAAATAACCAAAATGCCCAAGAACAGGGCTAGTTGAGAACATGGTGACTCGGAAAAAAAAAAAGGTAAGCTGAGGAGATAAAAGAATATAGAGGGAGATGCTCAGAGACAGATTGTACCAGAAGGTTGTGTACCAAATTTTAACAAGTCATTTTTGAGCTATGGGATTATGACAATTTTCTTCTTTGAGCTTTTCCTCTTATTTTCTAAATTGTCTACAGTGGAATGCATTATTTATAATCAAAAGAAACACATCAGCTTTTACAAGAAACCTTAATACTTTGGGCTCACACCAGAACTTAAGGTTGCACCATTCTCTCTGTGTCATTCTTTTGCATAATCTTCAGCTTAAGATCATTGTGGAAACCTGAATTTTTTCCTCAAAAAACAAAAAGCCAGGCTTGTTGGCAGAATTTCTGCTCCCTTCATCCAGAAAGAGAGCCCCTGGGGGGGCGTTGGTGATCACAAGAATCTTAGAAGTATTGTTTCACTGAGTCATGGAACAGAGGAGTCAATGGAGACAGGCCAGGGCTACAGCTCAGGGTGAGTGAGGGATGCAGAATTCCCAGATCTCCCTCAGCTCCGAGCAGAGACACCAGATGAATGACTTGGGGGTGGAGTCCAAACATGGTGATGGGGGAGAGCAAATTATTCAGTTTTGAGATTAACCAGCTGACGATATCTCACAAATAGCCTGCCACTTAGAGTCTCTCTCCCTTTCTGGGCCTCAGTTTCCTCCTCTGTAAAAAGAGGGGTTCTCCCACTTGGGTGGCCATCAGAACCCCCCAGGGAGCTAATAAGGAATGCACAGTCTCAGGCTCATTGAAGAAGGACAGGGTCAGGGCCTTTGCATCTTTACCAAGTCTCCCAGCTGAGAAGCACAGAAAAAATTATTAAAACCAGTGCTGCTTTAGTGTACATATGACTCCCTGGGAGATTTTGTTAAAATACAGATTCTGCTTGGTGGGACTTAAGAGTCTGCAATTCTAGCAAGTTCCCCGGTGATGCCAAAGCTGCTGGTCTGAGGACCACCGCTGAGTAGAGAAACTCTGAAGTCCCTTCCTGTCCCCATAGTCCATTCTCCCACCTTCTCTCGCTCTCTTCTTTGCTTCCTTTCCCGCATTCAGTAAACACGAGCCCTGACAGGTGCAGGCACAGGAGACAGTGGAGCCATGGGCAGGCATTGGTTAGGGTTTTCTAGAAGGTGCGGCTTCGTGCCTGGCCTTGAGGTGAAGCAGGCTGGCAGCGCCCCTGGAATTGGGTCTCTTTAGTAGAGTTGCTGCTCCTCAAAGGGTCTTGCCTAGCACGATCAAGAGTCGGGCATCTTCAAGGGTCTCAAGCAGGGCAGGGGCATTGCCTGGCCTGCAGCTTACAAAGTTCCTGCTGAGGCTGGAGGAGGGAGGCTGAGTGGAGCAGGGAGGACCCCAGCCCACTGTTTTTCTGCCGTTCCCAGCTCTGTCTCAAGACAGTTTCTGAGGCATGGCCAAGGGAGGCCCAGGGTCCATTCCTGAGACCCCTCTCCGACCTCACTTGCCTCTGCCTGTGCCGCTGGCCACTTCCTTCCTTTTCTCCTTTGCACCCCTGAGAACAGCCAAGTTCATTCTCTTTTCCTGGCTCTAGCAAAGGTAATTTTGAGAATGTCCTTTCAAGTTTGAATTAAACATATCAAGTTTGAATTAAAGAGAGAAAGGAGGCCTGGATGGGTTTTTATAGATTTTCATGCAAAATTCTTTCTCAGTACAACATAGTTCCCAAATTTTGCTAAACATTAAAATCACCTAGGCAGGTTTTAAAAACCACGATTCTCAGGCCTCTCTGCAGACCAATTAAATCAGAGTGTCTGAGGTGGGAGTCAGGTATCAGCATTTTTCAAAGATCCACTATAAAGCCTAATTTGGGACCCCTTGGCCTAGAGAGAGGGACACCTGAGTTCAAGTGTCAGCTCCCCCACAGGCTTGTGGTGAGACCCCCACAGCAGCTTCTTCTCCTCCGTAGGCTCGGTTTCCTCATCTGCAAAATGATGCAGTGCTGTAGTTCTGAAAATATATTTAATTTCACAAATCGCTCACTCAGGGCCTAAGAGTTAGAGACACATATGAAAGCTAATTGAATCCCAAAGTTACTAGAAGAAATAACAGCTTTGATCTTAGAGAATAGAAATAGTGCTAAATTTCACTATGATTTTTCCAAGCTCCTAGACACTCGTTACACTCTACACGTTGAATTGCAAGTAATCTATAGAAGATTCATAAGTGGGTCACATTTACCATTAAATAGTAACCAATAGAAACACACATCATAGCACATTAAAATAAGGAATATATATCTCTTTTTCTTTTCTGGCCTTTATGTATGGAACCAGTTACCTACCATTGTGATGAGCAGGAGTCCTAACAGGTGTGTGCATCCAGGGACAGTCACACCAAACTTATATAGGAGAGGACAACCACACTTTTGGCATCATTAGGAAAGATAACACGCCAAGGACACGTTTAGTGTTTACAGAGTTAACTATCAACAGGAAACTATGGTTTCAGATGGTTTATGAGTTCTTCATAAACCAGGCCTCCACCCCAATTCTGTGTTTACCCTTGTTGTCCCCACCCCTGATATTCATTTCCCTTTGACATGAAAGAGCAGAGGAGAGGAGAACTCCCCTTTCTTGAGCCTTCACCCTATGCTGGGTGGATGGCTAGACACGTGACATGTTACCTTATTTGATTTCACACGCAAAGAAACGGAGGCTTAGGGATGCTGCTCACACAGCCAGGTGGTGAAGCTGGGCTTCCAGAAGACAGAAGAATAGCTTACCGGGTCAGCCCTGCGGCCCACCAGGGCACTGCCGGTAGAGTCTACTCTGAGAGAGCAGAAATGCCCCAGGCCACCCTCCACGCAGGAGAGGGCAGCTCTGGGCGCCTGGGTTCCCTTGACAAGCCACGTGGGCTCAAACAGCTTGAACTTTCTAAAACTCTTCTTGAATCTTAACTCGTTATTCCCTGCTGCATCAAACAAGCCTTCCTTCTCTTTGTTCAACAATGATCTTCCAAAAACTCCTGCTTGCCCTCATCATGCCCAGGATGTCCTTTGGGGAGCGGCAACAAGCAGAATCTCCTGGTACACCTGAGGGACTTACCATTTGTATCAGCCAGCTAGGGTTGCCATAACAAGATACCTCAGACTGAGGGGCTTAAACAACAGAAGTGGATTGTCTCACAGTTCTGGAGGCTAGAAGTCAGAGGTCAGGGTGTCCTCAGGGTGGTTTTCTTCTGAGGCCTCTCTCCTTGGCTTGCAGAGGGCTGCCTTCTCCCTCTGTTTTCACCTGGTCTTCCCTCTGTGTATGTGGATGTCTGTGTCCAAATTCCCTCTTCTTATAAGGACACCAGTCATACCGCTGTACGTAGGTTATAGCATACTGTTATACAATCTGCTTTTCTCATTTAGCGATGCTATGACTGTCCTTGCGTATCAACAAATGCAGGTCTGATCACTATTTTAATGGCAAAACTTTATTCCACAGAGCGGCCGAGCCCTCATTTATTTGCTCAATCTCCTCTTGTGGAACGCTCACGTTGTTTCTGACTTTTTTTTAAAATTAGGAACACTAAATTAGGAATTTTATCCTTTAGATAAAAATTTCCCCACACTAATGCTAATTTCCTTAGGATAAATTTGTAGAGGTAGAATTTCTGGGTTAAATGTATTATTATTTCATTACTTGCTAATCTGATAGGTGGAAAACCTTATTTTGTTTTAATTTACTTTTCTTTGATGATTGGCAAGGCTAGACATTTTTTGGCATATTTATCGGCCAACTGTATTTCTTCTTTTGTGAGTAGCCCATTCACTCATGTCCTTTACCTATTTTTCTGTTTTAGGGTATTTATATTTTTCTTATGGATTAGTAAATATGCTCTTAATATATTACGATATTAATATTCAACTGTCACATACATTACAAATATTTTTCTTCCTTTCTTATAGTCAGAACATTAACTCTGGAGTTAGACCTAAGGAATGAGAAATTTTCCTCATTTCTATTTTTACCTTTAAAGTGATGTGTTTTGACATATAGAGATTTTAAACTTTTACTTAGATCTATCAGGTAGTTATTACACGGTTTTTGTCTTTATTTATGTCTAGGTAACAGCTAGAAAGATCTTGAAGCCTCTTTCCCGGGTTCAAAACATCTTAAACATTTCAAAACATCTTAATTCTAAATAGGTAGTGCATGCACAGGATGAAACCATTTTTAAAAAGTGCCTCTCTTCCACCTGTCTCCTAGTCTCTCAGCTCCTCTCGATAAAACTCATGGCTGTTACTGACTTTCAATATCTACCTTTGCAAAGCTGGTCTACACATACACGTGTGTGCATGCTTTTCAGAATACAATTCTGAAATCTTGCCTTCTTCTCTTGATGCTCCATTCTTTCTGTGTTCACATGCCTTTGAGCCCCATTCTCAATTTTTAGAAAACTTTCTATCTTGAAATAATTTAAGACTCACAAGTTGCAAAAATAGTACAGAGAGTTCTGTGTACCTTTACGCAGCTTCCCCAATGATAACACCTTAAATAACTTTTGTACATTTTCAAAACCAAGAAATTGACATTGGTACAATAGTACAATACTATAACTAAGCTACAGATCTTATTCTGATTTCATCAGTTTTTATACGCACCATTTGGTGTGTCCAGTTCCCATTTAACACCATTCCACTGGGCTGTCTGGGCCTTTTCTACCCATTTTACTTTTGAAGCAGGGTAAGGCAAATGTAGGCACACCGACATGTGATATCTCACACCAGCTCTGTCACTCGCCCAGAGTAACACCAGACATTGCCTAACCTCTTCGTAATTGACGACCTTCATTAGGTAGCTTTTTTATAAAGGTCCTCGATACATTTTCTATTCATTTCTGTGTGTGTGTGTGTGTGTGTGTGTGTGTGTGTGTGTGTGGTAAATCTGGTGTAGTTGGAAGTCTAGGATTTATACCACTTTTTAAATATTTTACATAGTTGTCCCATACCTTTTCCCATAAGGGTGGAAATGATAAAATATAAACAAATAACCGAGATCAGTCCAAGAAACAAAAGGGCTTCAAATAGGCCAGCTACTCCATGGCTTCCTGGGTGTGTGATCCTGCGCAACATGCTTGAAACGAGAGGCACAAGTTTCCTGGTGTTTGACAGTTTGCACCAATTAGGGAGGGTGTAGGATCGCGGGCTACACAGGTAGACAGACCTGGGCTGGAATCCTGGTTGCAAAATGTTTACTATGTGATCTTGGGCAAGTTATTTAACCTCTCTGTACCTAATTATTTATCTAAAATGGGGATTATAATAGCACTTGCTTTGTGGAGTTGTTCTGAAAATTAAATGAGATAAAACATGCTAAAAGTAAAGTCAGATCTGGTCTCTCCTACAGCAGCTTCTTGTCTTGCTCAGAGGCCCAGCTGGAGAATTTTCAGGGCCATCAGCTTCTCCGTGACCCTCGTCCCCTTACCCCTCTGGCCTCATCTCCCTTATGGGCCCCTCACGCACTCCATCCCAGCTGCCCTCGCCCTCCTTGCTGGCCCTCAGACACCTCGGATCTCTACTTGAATGTCACCCACTCAGTGAGTCCTTCCCTGAGGACTGCACAGCCTCACACCCACACACCAGCCCTCACACTCCTTCCTTCCCACCTACCCTGTTTTATTTTCCTACAAGGCACAGATCATCACCTCACCTAAGACACAGAGACCTGCTTATCTGTCATCATCTGCCTCCCCCAACTAGACCTTGGCTCCTTTAGGGCAGGCGCTTGGACTCTTCTGCTCCTGGCTTTATTCCCAACACTCAGAAAAGTGCCTGGCAAGTAGTTGGGACTTGACAAATACTTATTGAATGAATGACTGACCATAATGTGCTTCGCACAGTTCCTGACGCCCAACACGGGCACTCTAAATGGGAGCCATAGGGCAGGCCCGGTGGCGCAAGTGGTTAAGTGCGCGCTCCACTGTGGCGGCCTGGGGTTCGCCGGTTCGGATGCCGGGTGCGCACCAATGCACCCCTTGGCAAGCCACGCTGTGGCGGCGTCCCATATAAAGTGGAGGAAGATGGGCACGGATGTTAGCCCAGGGCCAGTCTTTCTCAGCAAAAAGAGGAGGATTGGCAGCTGTTAGCTCAGGGCCAATCTTCCTCACCAAAAAAAAATAACATAGAATAAATGGGAGCCATAGCTGTGCTGCTGCTGTTGCATAAGCTGAGAACCACGATGGCAGCCAGCGGGCCCGCAGTAAGGTTTAAATCAAAGCATACACGTGGACGGGGTTGTACAAACTGTGAAGTGCTATGTAAACAGAGCATGACAGTTATTATTACAAGGCTGTTTGATGATAGCCTTTGTGTTCACTAGAGGTGTTGTTCATTGTTTGGACCAGTCCCTGGGTCTCGACAGAGCTCCCAGCCTGTCACAGAATAACCATGCACAGATTGGTTTGTCCCCGACAGGATGCAAAGCTTCCGCTCCGTGGTCCGCCCAACCAGCTGACCATTGTAAATGCTTGTCCAGGCACGTGTGTGCTCTCCTCCTTGCCCCAGGAGTCTGTGCGCTCTCTGCCAGCCTCTTCCCACTTGAGTCCCTACTGGCCTCTGGGGCCATTTGCCACGCCATCCCAGGCTCCAACTAGCAAGAGAGAACTATTCTATTACTCTCGTTTGAAATGGACTTTCGAGGCAATGAGTTTTGTGCTGGTATGTAATACTGCTGTAGTTAAAAAGGACATAGTGAAGAAGCTCTCCTGGGAAGCGGGCTGGTTTGACAGCCCAGTCTTTACGGGGAGTAGTGTCCCGTGGGTTTCAGCGTTCTAGATTGTGATGCTCGGCATGAGAAATCTGAGGATATGGACAAAATCACTGCTTGTTCTGATCTGTGAACCCACAAGGTTGTACCAAACTCCCAAGAAGCCCATATATGATTGTCGACCTAACAAGGTCCCTTCACCACACTGGGGAGGGGAAGGGAACAACATGTATGGAGAGGCTGCCCTGCAGCAGCGCTGTAAGAGGGGTTTTCCCTGTGAGGTCTTTAAGTATTCCCAGTCTACAAATGAGGAAATGGAAGACCTTCTCACTGTCCCACAGCTCACAAATGACAGTACCTGAATTGGAATTCAGATCTGCTGGCTGCAACCTTCACTCTCTCCTCTATCATCTCACTGCATCTGTTGACCACAGCCTCCTCCTTTAGAAAACGCTGCCTGAGGAGCTAGTGAGTGCAGAGCCAGAACAAGGAATTTAGTGTAGATGCTAAAACAGAAGTAGGTTCTAATCCAAGTTCCACCCCCAAATAGCTGTGTGGCCTTGGGCAAGTTTCTTAAGATCTCTGACCCTCATTTTATTCATTTATTAAATAGGGATGATGATCTCCATCTCAAAGGATTGGCATGGAAAATAAATGAGAAATGTGTCTAAAGC